CCCAACTTTGACACAACTCGCACCTCACAGAATACTCAATTATTCGTTAAAAAAAATTCTATGATCCCATATTTTATCCTTACTTTTTCAGTTTTTTGATATTTCAAACACTATTTCGCAAAATTTTAAAATGGAACACCCTGAATATTTTTACACTTCTCAATTTCCTTTTTCATAAGCTTTAATTCCAATACAGTGTGAGTCTTCATAAAGTGCACATAGCAAAATCAAGGAAGCTACACCTTATTTTATTGACGAAAAAATTATCAAAAAAAAAAATTAGAAACAATAATTCATTTTTTATGAATATTTTAAAATTTTTAGAGTCAGCTGCTAACCCGATTTAAATAAATCGTTACAACTTTTAAACTGAATGTCCTATCATATTGGAATAAATTTTGTAGTGATTGCAAATAATAGGCCGTACCAGTAAAGTGAAAATTTCCACGAAATTAAATGCTATAAATTTAAAATAAAGAGGAATATGCTGAAACTCACTATTTTTTCAATGATTTTTAAAACAGTTGCTAAATTTCAATAAAAATTGTCCTATTTACCCTACCTTTTTTAAATGTTAAGTTATTCTACATGTTATTAGCTTCCTAATGGTGAAAAATTGCAAGTTTATTACTTAGATACAAGTTTTTAAATCATTGTTTCAAAAAGCAGTGAACTCAGTTCAACGCCAGAGTAGGAATAAAACAACAGTATTAACCTACATGAATCATTCATTATCTTTAACAAATAAAATCAAATAGACTTGTCTATAGGATAATCATTTTGGCTTAATGCATCAAATGTTCAAAATGGCCACCCCGTTGCTGCAAACACATTGTAGCGCGAAGTGAAATTTGATGAGTTGCCCTACGAATCATCTCGGGATCATTTTTGATTTCGTTTGCAACACGCAAAACTCTTTCTTCAAGTTCCGCTTCGCTGTTTATGGAACTGCTGTACACCCTTTGTCCAAGTCCAGTGTTAGCCAGTCTTCTATGTACTTCTTGGAAGTTACGGGCTGATGGAACAGGGCGTCGATTTGGAAATGCAGCTAGATAAGCTGTGCAAGCAGCTCTAGCACTCCCTCGGTACATTCCATAATAATAATGGATATCGGCAATGTGTGCCGGAGGGAAATCACTTATACGTGGCATCGCGACCAAAAAGCGAAAGCGTGATATGTAGCAAACGAAACTGATAAAGTTGGCAGGAGAAACACAAATAGCTGCATAACTGCCCAACATTCAATTGTTTTTCAACTGGACCCGCCTCCCCACTCGTACTTCAGCCCGCGCGACTCTACATTGAATCACCAAAAAAAGGTATCTACATGATAAACAATGGTGCCTAGCAAGACGATGCGCATGGGCTTTTTTATAAACACTCATAGAAACTGTTACATTTGAGTAATAAACGTGCAATTTTTACTTTTATAAAGCTGATAACATGTAGAATAACTTACAAATAAAAAAAAAAGGTAGGGTACAAGGGACGATATTTATAGAAAATTTGAAATTATTGTAAAAATGATGAAAAAAAAAAACAGATTTAAATCAAAATTTTCTTTATTCTAAATGGATGACATTACTTTTCCTGGAATTCTTCACTTTTCAGGCACGTCCTTTTACCAGCAATCACTACAAAATGTATTCCAATATGATAGGACATTTAGTTTAAAAGTTGTAACGAGTTATTTCAATATGGTTAGAAGCTGCTACTAAAAATTTTAAAATATTCATATATTCATAGAAAACCAAATTCATGTTTTTTTGATGACTTATCCGTCGATGAAATAGAGTGTAGTTTCCCTGATTTTGATATGTGCACTTTATGAAGACTCACACTGTATAAGGCTTATGGGAGTTTGTTTGACGGTTTTTGAGTTGCTAAAAACATAGGGACACTTGATGATGTTTCAACATTATTGCATAAGGCAATATAGATTTAATTTATAATGAAAATACACCAATACTAACGATCTGCCGTTACTCAATACATGCTATTTTTCAGCTTGAATGGTATAGTATTTTATTCGTCTTAATATTCCAAAAAACGGTCGTACCAAATCCCCAAATCCTGATATCAGAAAAACCCTTGTAGATATGGGAGTCAGGGAATGTGGAAATGCACGGCGTGTTCCATTTAAAAGTTTTGAGAAATCGTTCATTTTGCGTTCCTAACCACCCTGTATAAACTGACCAAGAACTGTAAAATTAGATAGATATAGATAGCATATTTAATATTTTTTTAACTTAAAATTTTGTACTATATCTATAATAGTTGCGAAGGTGCGAGTTGTCAATGTTCAGTGTTTTAATCGATAGATTTTAAAATATCTCAAAAATTTGAAACTAGAACTCTATATTATCAAATTGCTTCATTTGGAAGGGTGTATTTCAATACCGCATAGTTATGAATCATCCTGTAGATACATAAATGATATTTTTTAAGTAAGGAGCATACTGTTGGCTATAATTATTGTAAGTAACTTACTTCATCCTGTGTATGTCTCCCTTAACTGCCTTTCACAAATGTTAAAATGTTGAATATTTTCAGCAGTCTTAAAAATGGTTGTTTAACATTTACTTGTCACGCATTAAGACTTCATGAACCTCAAACTGGAAGTATAAAATATGTTCTGGAACAGCTCTGTTATTTACATTTTTTTTTCAAATAACAGTTAGATGATCTGAAGCCAAACAACAACAATTATTATATTGTTTATGATAACTTCTAAACAAGATGAGATCTTAAATCCTCGATTCTTCTAAGCATGTCGAGCGTACAGCTTTTCGATAAAAATACAAGAACTTAATTAGATTTTTATTTTTAACCATCAATTGTTTAACATCTGTAATTTTCCGAAAATGCTTCACACTTGAAAATGCATTATCCATTATTCATTAAACATCCTAACACGGATTCGTCATGGATTCAACGCTTGGCTGATTGCTGTTGGATATAGTCCAGTCGGTAACCCAAAAATCGAAACTATTCGATGAATGCTCCACTATTTGCACTGGAGATTCTTATACAGGGTGTAACGTTATAAGGGGATCAAAGGAAGCCACATGATAAAGAACCTCAAGCATCAATAATAATCAACCCCCATGGATCCCTGAAAAATCCGATTAGAAACTCAACTTTCTAAGTGGAGCCAAGTTATCATGCCTATGGTTGCATTATTTTTTGGAAGTATTGTAATACCTGTTTTGAGGAAAAACTTCATAAAAGTCAGATTAAAATATTTGTTCAACTTGTTTTGAATAGCTGTTTTTCTCCTCTACCCTACCAAAAAACTGTTCCATGTTAAGTAAGTTAATTCTAAAAATTTTATCCGCCTACGCAAATACACTCCAGTTTGTGCAGCCCGCAGGAATTTTTGACAGGGCCAGAGAGAACTTTTTGTGAAAATGTATCTTTTTCCAAATCCTGAAAATCTTCAAAATTTTACACAAAATCATGCTAAATATGCAAATCTTAAGGACCAAGCGGTTTCCTGGGGGAGGCTTAATTCGAATGTCTGATCTGACTGGAATGGATTAAAGATAATACTTCTCGACGACCAGTGCAGCCTATAGAAGTTTGTGCAACCACAACTTTCCCAACTGTTGAGTTCATGCTCATCGTATGTTTTGCTTATAGGACCTTTTCTTTAAATTCTTCAAATATTTTTTTTACTACTACAAAAGAATTTACTACAAAAGAATAGACATCTAAGCTATAAGCTTGTGTGTCACACAATATACAAATTCAATGCATGGCTAATGGTCATGAGCAAATGTATATAAAAACCTTAGATAGAAACGAAATGACTAGGTTGAGTCAAGCTACAATCGATGCAAGCATCTCAAAGTTACTTAAGATGAACTTATTAATTCCTTTTTTGAAACTATACTTCGAGAGGATTTTATATTCTAGGGGTAATTTATTATACAACCTAATACTATCAAACTATGCATTTTTGGCAAACAGATTTATTGACTCTGGTATAAGTGTAACTTATATTTATTTTAGCTCTTGTTTCGTAAGCCTGGCTGGTTGGAACGTTGTTTTTGGAGTGAACAAATTTCAGAGCAGCAAAAATATATTTACCTCTTAAAATTCAAAAGATCATTTTCAATGTAAACGAATCTGCAACTTGACCTACATAGGATACGAAAAATAGTCCTAACAATATAATTTTGCGTGGTTTGTAATAATTTTAAAGTACTAGTGTGTGCGGCTCCCCATATACTTATCCCGTAAATTAGTAACAAACGAGTTATATATTGAGAGAAGACTCTTTCTGCTTAAAATAATCCTAAGATTGAAAAACTTATGAATAATTCTCCTTAATTTCGATGCCAAAAGCTCGGCATGAGTCTGCCGTTTTAAATACTGTCAACAATCTAATAATTTCAACTCTTTCGACAGTGTCAGCACTATCATTTATAATTAATGTTCGGTGGTGTAATGGCATGCCTGCTTTCGTTGGAGAAAACGTCACATACTCAGTTTTAGAGATATTAAGTTTGAGTAAATTGTTATCCAACCAGCATTTGACTTTATTTAATGACAACTCAGCATTCCGTATTGCGTCACCCCATGAATGACCATCAGTGTAAACTAAAACAGTATCGTCTGCTCATGATATCATTTTGCAGTTTAAATTGCATCGAAGTAGTTCATTTATGTATATGAGGAATAGTGTTGGTTCCAAAACCGTCCCCTGAGGCACACCTATTTTGATCTTTTGAATGCTGCTTAAATCTGACCCTACCTTAACTTGTTGTAATCGATCAGCCAAATAGTTCTCAAATAAGCTCAGAACTCGCACTCCAAGACTTTCTAGTTTCTTTAATAAAATTGTATGAGATACTGAATCGAAAGCCTTTTGAAGATCTAGGAAAACTGCAACAGTCTCGTTTCCATCTTGGAAATTCTCAAGTTCTTGTAGAGATTGCAATTTTTGTGGAACCCAAATTGACAGTTCGATATTATGTCAGATTTCTCAAGAAAAAAACAAAGTCTGCTATTTAAACACTTCTCAAAAATCTTCCCAAATACATTGATCACTGAAATAGGTCTATAATTGAACATTTGTCTTTACTTCCAGATTTAAATATTGGTGTCACTATGCTTTCTTTAAATTGGCGAGGAATTACTGAGGTTGATAATAGTTATAGGGTGACTGATATACTTCATGATCATCTTGATAGTTTTAGTGTGTAAGCCATCTTTTCCGGGTGCGGTATTATTTTTCAGATTACGAACTATTTGCTGTAACTCTATGTTGTCCACTGAAGTTAGAAACATAGAGTGAGCAATGCTGACGACATGAAGATCTGTTGTATCAAGAATTGAGTTTTGATCAATCTGAACCTGAAACTTCAAATCATCATAGAAGATGTAGCGTGTGTGTGGTACCAAGTCGCTTGTTTCCGTTTTCACGTTTCGTCAATTGTTTTGGATAAGTAAAATCAATGGAATGTTGATTTTCGCTATACCAACTAGCTTGAAGAAAATACTGTCTGTATGCTTGACGACTACGAAGTTGTATATCAGAAAAGCATGTTATGACTAGCATGAGTGTCTATGCCAGTCTTTGGAGCTGAAACATATAGATTGTTTCTGTTTTTTGTATTTATATAAACAAAATGGCAACGCCTGAACATCTGAGTACGTTCATGTGCGCCCGCGGGAACTTTTCTCCGGAGGGGGAAGCTTCTGAATAACGGGGGTTGCAAATTTTCAAATTAAATTTTACCAAGAGAACCCAAAATCTGTATATCCTCAAAATTATGCAGAAAATCATGCTAGATATGCATATTTTAAGGTCCAACCATATTTTTTCAAAAATGATCAGGATCTTCTGAAACGTCAAAAAACGTTTGAACCGTTTCCGCTTTTTTCGTTCTAGGCATTTTTCTTCGTCTCCACTGGACCGATTTTCAAATACTTCAAAGCTTTTTCGTCGTTAACATAGTAGTAACCTTGTCTGGAAATTTCATCTAAATCCAAGCAGTACTTTCCAAGTTATAGGCGGTCGAACAATTAGCGGACAGGCCGACAGACAAACCGATAGACCGACAGACAAACGGAACTTAGTGCCTTGGTTTTTCGTGGTGTGCATGACATATAACATTTAAAAAACATAATATCTCATTTCCTCGCAGTAAGGCGTGCAAAGTAAAACGTTACATTTCGTATCCAAAATCCCTTGTTGTCTACTAGGACTGGACTATATTTCAGACGCGCATCATTATTGGGGGATTCCAAGAACGTAAAGCTTTTATGAAGGTCTCCAATGCAGATTACAAAAACAAGTTAAATGAGGAAGTGGAACATTTACTCGGCGATGTCAGGTTATTTTAAAGATAACCTTAAAATGACTTAATGCACGTGCCTCGGTAGATTTGGCATGTAGATATAGCATTTCCGTTACATGAGCGCTGCTCTTTACTTACTACATATTTACTTTTTCAAATTTCCAAGGACATATATTTAGGTTGAATTGATTTGGTTTGAAAACGTTGTATTTGTAGAAGAAGAATTCGAACAAAGTAAAAATAACTGAAACATCGTTTTTGACGTTCCACAGAATTATGATAATTTTTGAAAAAACTTTTGGGGGTGTACAATTTGGGGGTGTAGGGTTGTGATGTGGTGGCGAGGGTATATATCTATTTATATGCTCCCAACCTTGATAATCCTACGCACCTATTAGACATATATCACACAGCATAGATTTCCTCGCACATTTGCCATTAACACTAAAAATATTCTCAGCAGACGGATCCCGTATCTATAGGCCGCGTCTGCTTCTGCTCCCAGCAGCGTACCGGCCTTGGTAAGTGTTCTGGTATTACTACCGGGTCTGACTGGTGAAGAATGTCTATGGACTAAATGTACGGACCTCTTTGATTAAAACTTTGCTCAGCAGGTCTAGCTTGTTCTGAACATAATCCTTTATGAACTGGTGATGACGTTGCGTGGGAAGTGCAGAGTCAACTTACTTGACGCCATCTTTTGTTCAGAATGATCAAAAAAATTAACAAAAAACTCTGACTGGACAAAAAAACTGTTTGTTACCGCCCGGTTTGCTTTTTAAATGAGATATTTTTTTGAAAAACTAATCTGTATATATAAATGTGGATGTCAGTCTACTCTGTGAAAATCACGTATGAACCATAATACGACGACGCGAAAAAATATGTACATCTACTAATTAATACCCGAGTAAGGTTATAGGCGTGATTGCATCGGCGAACTCATCGTCGACTTTGCGATCAACTTTCATGGCAAGTACAAACAACTCCACCATCAGCGTCATACCGGCAAAAGCGCGGCCTGACATCGCCCCCACTCAACCTGTGACCGTCAAGTGATATAGACGTTTCATTTTGCACTAGCTGTAACCCGCTAATTCGTACGCCACAATAAATACGAAATACTATCATAAAATTTCAGAGTTATACTATTATTTGTTAACGAGTTGAGATTGTTGGAGAAGTTGCTTGGAACTGGAAAAATAATAATTATTTATTCGACTCTAGCTATACTTTTGTTCGTTGACCCACCTAGAGTGTGCTGAAGATTGCCAACAAGCATCAAACATATGTATACAGTTATAAACTGAATCAGTATGCTTGCTAAAATAGTATGCAAAGATAATTATTCTATATCTCAAATAAAAAATAATAATATATATGAAGCCAGAGATCTCAATGGAATAACCTACTCTCGTCTGAAAGGAAATAAGTTTCTTCCATTTATGTATGATTATGTATATCTACTTATAACATGTAACCGTATGAGTGTTGTGAGTGTTTATGCTAACAAACCGCCTAGATTTACAGTTTAGCAAGTAAGTGTGTGAATTAGAGTACGTAGCAGGTTCTCATAGCATGAAGCGTGACATGTCTTGCAAACTCCAAAGTGGAATAATAAAATTTGACAGTTGATTTATTGTACATATATTTACTCCAATTCCGATATATAGAAAGTGTCCCATTTTAATCTCCCCACCCAAATATTTTGAAAACTACGCATCGTAGAAAAAGTTTTAGGATTTGCGCGGGGTATAATAGTGATGACTTTAATAATGACCTTCACAATGACCTTCAAGGTCATTTCAAGGTCAAGTGGGTAATTTCAAATGGAACCACCGTCTTTTTTTGCCCAGGAATTGGAAACAGGACATACTTTGTCCGTGCATGATCTTGACCATAAACGTGAAATCCAAGACCATTTCAAGCTCAAGTAAAGAGATTGAAAACAATTTGCTGTAGCAATCATATTCGACAGCACAGTTGTGAGGTTTGTGGGGGTCACCCAAATGTGACCTTGACCATGACATTCAAGGCCATGACAAATTTTGTTAATCCTGCGTTAGGCGCGTTGTGTGTGACGTTGTTGGGCTCATGGGCGACAGGTGTCAACCATTTTTTAAGTGCCGAATTTTTACAAAGACAACGATGACAAATAAATACATACAGGACAGATTCACCAATTTATATTGATTAAATAGAACATGGACGGTGGCGCCACAATAAAAATCCAATCGGCCCAGATGTAGGCGTGGTTGACTCCTGTCACCCACGCAACTATCGCAGGGTTGAAGAAAATCCTTCATTTTTATCCTGGAATTGGAGAAAGCAGAAAATGTTAAGTCCGCGCTCAAAGTCAATGTCATGTTCTTCTTAAATGTTATTTACAGAACAATAAATTTTATATTTAAATGTGTGAAATTCTTACAGGACGATGAAGGTGCTGGTGAAGGTCTTGATGAAGGTCAGCTCTGGGAGACCCCACAAAACTCAAAACTGTGCTGTCCAACCTTTTCTGCTACGCCAAATTGTTTTCAATGTCTTTACTTGAGCTTGAAATGATCTTGATGGCCATGGTTCTCACCTGTATTATGTAGGGTACGAAGTGTGAACTATCCATGCGCGACCATACATTCCAAGACATTTCAATAAAGCCTAATATTTGAATTTTTCACTCTTTGCCATTTTTCTACCTCTATTCTTTCTCCTTTTGTCTTTCTGTATTTGAGTGACCAGACTCAATTTCTGAGTTTTACATCCAGAAATTATAATTCTTCGTATATAAAGTTCTCGGGTGAATAATTTTCTGTTTAAGAATGAAAAGGTCAGTATTCAGTCATTTACATTTTCTAGCTCGTACTCAATATGGGGTCAGTGAGTATAAAGCCGGTCCCAGACACTACGTGCATTCGGCGAATATTCTGTATTCGAGCTTATTCGCGTAGCGTGTGGGAGGCTACTTTCGACGAAGATTCGTACTACGTCATTTTCCCGGAGGTTGACATGAATCAAAGGAGCTCATAGTGTGGCGGAGTGCGGTGTAGTCAACTTCGGCATTTCTCCCAGACGCTACGGCTATTTGTTTACGTGTTTTTAAGTTTAGCGTCGCGCTCCGCTTAGTTCGTTTGTGCTGGTTGCTCTACGGGAAATATTCGATATTGGACGCATTTCTGCAAATAACGTAGCGTCTAGGAAGCTGACCAAAGGCATAGTACATACTCCGAAAGTTCGCACATTCGCCGAATGCACGTAGTGTCTGGGACCGGCTTTAGGTGTATAAATAATAATAATATAGATAATAAGAACGCTTTTTGAAGAATAGGGGTAGCAAATTTTCTCAGCGGATCCATATGATTCCTAAAAATTTCTAAAATTGTAAACGAAAAATATAAAAAAGATATGTAATTTTTAAGGTCCAACCGGATTCTCAGGATTCAGGGTATATCGGGAACCTCTATAGCTATTTCTGTCACCAATTTGATTTCAAATGTATTGATATTGAAAAGTTATCATACATTTCAATTAATTACAAATTCATTAAGTTAGTTCATTTCAGGTCAGGGAATAGCAGCAACCAACGGATTTGGCTTGGTTTATTACTTTCTTATTTTTTTGTGATTTTTTCATTGTCCATCGTGTTTTTTCAAAATTTTTAATTTTTTATTTTATTGCGTTAAATATTTGAAAAGATGACCACCATTGTAACAATATTGCAATATGCTGGACTTAAAACAAAAACTGCGAAATGTTGGTTAATATAATTATTAATGTAAACTACAGTATGTTCACTAAATCAAAGCAGTTACTTCACAATGCCAAATAGTGACGCACATGGTTGCCAAATTACTTTAAACTCCTAGGAAATAAACCACGAATATAAAGCTGCCGTTGGCGTAATAACCTGACAAGCTTTGCGGCAATGTCACAACAGAGAAAACTGTTACTAACATAAATGTACCCGGGAAATTCAGACTATACGTACCCATTTAGGATCTATTTTGCATTAAGGTTGGCATTCAAATTTATTAAATATGACGTATCTGCTTTGTTTCAGTGAAAGGACTATATACGGGCTCATTCTATTCCTATACTTCAAAATGCTTCTATTTTCATTCAGAGGTTAAAAATGCTATGGTATTCAGGTCAGCC